GGCGCCTCTTGGACCGTCTTGGGGTCCTCGCGAGCCGTCTTGGGGCCCTTTGGGGGCCCTCTTGGGGGCCGTGTGGACGGTCTTGAGGCGGTTTTGGAGGCTTCTGGGACTTTCTTCGAACGTCGGAAAGCCTAAAGGGCGCGACGGCCGAAAACTTTTAAAACATGTATAGAAAAACGGTGCCTCCGAGGGCCCTCTTCGGAGGCCTCTTGGAAGCCTCTTGGGCTGTCTTGGAGGCCTCTTCTGCCGTCTTGGGGCCATATTGGGCGACTTGGGGCGATCTGTATGTACGGTGCAGACGTCTGTTAAGGAATAGTCCCAGGAGGCGCCAGACCTTGGAGGAGTCCTTATCCAGTGAGGGCGGCGGTGATGTCCATGGCCAATCCACGATTGGAGTTCCACTGGCTTCCAGACCCGGGATTCCTTGTCTAAGAGCTGCCTCGGGGGCTTGGGGTCCTGCCTGCGGGCCGTGCGAGCACTGTTTGGGCTCGCTGTCCATGTTCAATTCAACAAGGGCTCGCCCGCGAAGTGTTTTTTCTTGTGTTAAATATATATAACAGAAAAAAAAAAAAAAAAAAAAAAAAAAAAAAAAAAAAAAAAAAAAAAAAAAAAAAAACGAGACACCCCCCCCCCCCCTCAAAAAAAAAAAACGTAGGTGTATCGGGCCCCTCGTGGGCCCCCCCTGCGATCTCGTCGTGGGGCGTCCGTTGGTGGCCTGCGCGTGCGCCTCTTGGGCCGTCTCGGGGCCCCCGCGGACCGTCCTGGGGCGGCCTTGGAGGCCTCCTGGGCCCTCGCGGGGCGTCGGAGAGTTGAACAGGCGAGAAAGCTGAAAAACTCGGGATGGGTCTTGGAGGCCTCCTGGGCCCTCGTGGAGCGTCGGAAAGTTGAGCAGGCGAGGAGGCCGAAAGCCTCCAAAAAACGTAAGGACAATTCTTGATTTGCGTAACATGGGGACCTCTTGGCACCGGCTTCACGTTCTGAGAACAGTGTGTTCGTTATTTGGACATGCGCGTGTTCTAAGAAAGTTAGAAGCACGGGACCTCGGCCTTTCGTGGTGTCCCACTGCGCCCGCCCGCCAGCTCTAGCTGCTGGCAGCCGCCCTCCCGCCACCCTTTCCACCGTGGTTTGCCGCGGCCGCCCACCGCGCTCTGGCCCTGCGCGCATGGCTGCTGCTGCCCCCCCTGGAGGGGTGGTCGGGTGATGTTCTCGCGCCTGGATAGGCGCGCCCCTATCGTGCCCCCGATCCAAGACACGATGCAGGCGAAGTGGCTGCGCTGTCTGGGGATCGGCATTCACACACACACACACACACATGAAGCAGAAGCAAGAGGAGATAGAGACGAGATGATGGACGAGGGGGAGCGGGGGAAACCGCAACATGCTCTCCCCAGGGGCCCTGCAACGTCCACCCCTCCTCACCCATGCCCGTGCCCTCACCCCTAACCTCCCCAGAAGAGCAAACCATTGGGGGGATTTGCCGCTGAAAGTCCGCCATGCCGCCGCGGCGCTCTCCGCGTTCCTCGCGGCGCCCTCGATGAGGCTCTCCCCTGTGCCAGCGGCTTGTCAGGCATAGTCTGTCGCAGGGGGGGGCCTTGGGGCGGCCACGGCTCCCTTGTGCATCGGGGCTGCGATTCGGGTTCCCCTCCTGCTTGCCCAGCATGTCCGGAGCACTTCCTGGACGACCCAGCCAGGCCGCAGGAGCGCTTCAAGACACCACCAGGCGCTGCAGAGCCCCACCAGGGCGCCCAGAGAGTCCAACACGGAGGCGCGTAGATAGTCCCACGATGGGCCCACAGAGCCCCGATGGACGGCTAGAGGTGGCAGAAACCTTCAAGCTCCTCCTCCTCCTCCTCCTCCTCCTCCTCCTCCTCCTCTCCTCCTCCTCCTCCTCCTCCTCCTCCTCCTCCTCCTCCTCCTCCTCCTTCTCATCCTCCTCCTGATGTTTCCGGCCCCGAGGGTTCGCCGCCGGCGCGGGCCGAGGAGGCGGAGCCAGAGGCGGCCGCCCGGGGAGTGGACGATGCCGCCGCGCGGGCGAAGGCAGCTCCGCGGCCCGCGCGGGAGGAGGAGCGCAGCAGCCGAGCCGCCGAGCTCCGCGGCTGCACGCCCCAGGCGGCGGCGGGCACGGCCGCGGCGGCGACGGCGCAGCCGAGCTGGAAGCACCGACTCGGCCCGAGGCAGAAGGCCTCGGCGGCCGCCGGGGGCGCGGCGCCGGCCGGGGAGGAGCCCGCCGCCGCCGCTGCGAGCGGCGCGCCGGCGCAGCAGGAGGGGCCGCCGCCGCCGCAGGCGGAGGAGGCCGAGTGGGAAGCGCGGGCGGAGGCGGCCCTGCGGCTCGCGCGGGAGCAGGAGGAGCTGCTCCAGCGTGAGGTCGAGGAGCTCCTCCACTACACGCCCAAGGCGGTCGAGGGCCTCGCCGAGGCCGAGGTTGCCCCGACCGCCAGCGACGCGGCCAGGGAGGCGGAGCTGGAGCTCCAGCGCATCCTCCTGGAGGCGCAGGAGGCGCAGGAGGCGAGGGAGGCTGCCGCGGCCAGCCGGTCGCTGGCGGCGGCCAGCGGCGAGCTGCAGCAGAAGCTGAAGAGTCGCCAGCGCGCTTCCGACGAGGCCAGGGAGGCTGGGCCGGAGCTCCGACGCGTCGGGGAGGCGGAGGCGGCGGTCGAACAAGAACAAGCTGCATCAGCGTAATTTTTGAGAGCTCCGCGCAGATTTCTTGGATCAGCGCTGGAACCCGCTGGCGGCGCCCCCAGCGCCGCCCCTGACGCACTCCGCGCGCCACGGGAGGGGGGTGCAGCGCAGATCCAGGAAGCCCGCGCGGAGCTCCCAAGTTTATGTTTGTGCCGCCTGGTCTTCCTCTAGGCGGGGGCGGCAGCCGCAGCCGACCGCTCGTTCGCGTCGGCGGGCAGCGAGCTGCAGCGAAAGCTGAGAGCTCGGCAGCAGGCCTCGGAGTCGGCGAGCCACGCCGCTCGCAGCAGTCATCTTTGATGGCCTGCGGTCGGTCGCCGGCTTCAGCTGCAGTCCGCGGGGCGGGATGGTGCGCCCTCTCCGTCTGACCGCCGTGGGCGGCATGCAGTTCGAGGAAATGGCCGGGCAGTCGATGTATGATCCTCTCTCTCTCTCCCTCCTGTCGCTGTCGCTGCTGGCACATGTGTCAATGTTGACGCTGCCACCCTCCTCTTGTTCCTCCTCCTCATCGTCCTCCTCCTCGTCTTTATCCTCCTTCTCCTCCTCCTCCTCCTCCTCCTCCTCCTCCTCCTCCTCCTCCTCCTCCTCCTCCTCCTCCTCCTCTTACACACGAAGGCACGTGCCGACCAACGACAAACACTCAGACCAGGACAGGTCCCGACCCATCTCTCCTCCCCCACCCCTCCACCTCTCGCAGCTTTTTATTTGTTTCGCGCGGCACCGTACATAGCATATTCCAGAGGGCACGGCCTCCTCCGCCTGTTCTTAGCTAGGCCCGGACGCTTGTCAGCATTGGTGGTCGATCGTTCGCTCGTTATTCAGCCTCATCTCTTTCCTCCTCCCTCGTCATCATCGTCGCTGCCATCGCCATCATCATGGTCATCATCATCAACACCACCATCATAAACACCACCATCATCACCACCATCATTATCATCACCATCATCAGAATTATCATCATCATCATCATCATCATCGTCGTCATCATCATCGTCATCATCATCGTCATCATCATCAGCACAATCAGCATCATCGTCATGTTCATCATCAGCATTAGCAGCATCAGCATCAGCAGCAGAATCATCATGACCGTCATCATCATCGTTCTCGTCACCATCATCACCATCACCATCATCGTCATCGCCAGCATCAGCAGCATCACCAGCAGCATAATCGTCATCGCCATCACCATCACCACCACCATCATCGCCATCGCTCTCATCAGCATCAGCATCAGCAGCGGCGGCAGCATCAGCATCATCATCGTCATCGTCATCGTTATCACCATCACCGTCATCGTCATCGTCATCATCAGCATTTTCATCAGTAGCGGCATCATCATCAGCATCAGCATCATCGTCATCACCATCACCATCACCATCCTCATCGCCATCATCGTCATCGCCATCGTTATCATTATCACCATCATCATCAACATCACCAGCAGCAACATCGTCACCCTACTCGCCATCGTCATCACCATCATCATCGCCATCACCATCATCGTCACCTTCATCATCAGCATCAGCATCTGCAGCATCATCATCATCATCATCATCAGCAGCATTATCATCGTCATCGTGATCACCATCACCACCACCATCGCCATTTCCATCATCAGCATCAGCATCTGCAGCAGCATCCTCACCAGCAGCATCATCAGCAGCAGCATCATCAGCAGCATCATCGTCATCATCGTCAGCGTCATCGTCATGATCACCACCATCATCGTCATCGGCATCGTCATCAGCATCAGCAGCAGCATCATCAGCAGCAGCAGCAGAATCATCGGCATCATCATCACCATCATCAGCATAGCCACTGTGATCGTCATCACCGTCACAATCACCGCCATCGTCATCACCATCATCATCATCATCAGCCGCAACTGCGTCAGCAGCAGCATATTATCAGCCACATCAGCACCATAAACATCATCACCATTGTCGCCATCGTCATCACCATCACCATCGCATTCACCATCATCGTCGTCATCGTCATTATCATCAGTAGCAGCATCAGCATCAACAGCAGCATCATTGCTGTCATCGTCTGCGCGGGGGGCGGTGCAAACGCTGGTTGGAAAGCATTGCCACGCAGCAGAACTGGAGGCGCTGAGGCGACACCGCGCCACCCGCCTCGGGACGGGTTCCAGGCCAACGGAGCGCGTCGTGCGTTCGTTCGTTCGTTCGTTCGTTCGTTCGTTCGCTCCTCCTCCTCTTCCTCCTCTTCCTCCTCCTCCTCCTCCTCCTCCTCCTCCTCCTTCCCGCCCTTACCCTGCTCGGTCCTGTCCTGCCCTCCTCGTCTGCACCCTCTCCCCGCAGGACGACGCCGAGGTGGTCAGCGGCATGGTGAGATCGCTGCTCGCGCACAGGGCCGACCCGAACGCCCAGGACCAGGACCCGGACAAGGACGCCGTCGCACCTCTCTGGATCGGGAGGAGGGAGAGGACAGGCAGGTGGATGTGGAGCAGGTACGGCCAGCATTGCTTGCGCAGGTCAGGGAGCCGTGGCCGCACCAGTCCGTGTTCAAGTTGACTCGGGTTACGTCGGGCGTGTCCCTCTACAGGGGGAGTACTAAAAAAAATCAAAAAATACTCAGGGGACGAGGTTTTGATTATTTGTCCCGGAAAGGGCGCCGGCCCAGGGCTCTCTTTTAGTTGGTAAACCTGTCCCCGGTGCCTCGACTGAGGTGGGCCGGCGGATTCTTTCTCTGATAAATATCGAGGTCGAGGTGGGCCGGCGATTAAAATTTGAGGGTGTCTCAGGCGAAGCGCTTGTTTTTGAAATCCCGACCGATAAATCACAGGGTGCGGGCCACTCTTTCGTGTGTTGAGGATGCCTCGAGCGAAACGCTTGCTCCGCAAAGTTACCGAGGATAACTCGAGCGAATCGCTTGTTTTTTCCTTTCCGGGTTCGTGGGTCGATCATGTTGAATATTTGGGGGGGGCATTTTCTTAGTATTTGTTTAATTTTCGCCCAAAATCCCCCTGTAGGGGGACACGCCCGACTTGTGACTCGGGCCCCAGCAGAGGACGCATGAGGCGGAGTCCTGGCGGAAGCGGCTGCCTGGCCAGCGGCGGACCATCAAGCTCGCACTCAATCGCCAGCACTGTCCCCAACTCCGCGCTTCGCGCGCACGGAAGGCTCGGGAGGGGCGGGGGCAGGAGGCAAGGACACGAGGCGGGGCACGAGGAGAGGAGCGGCGGCGGAGGAGCCCCTCCCGCCCGCGCCGTCCTCGCGCGGGGCCCTCGGGGAGCGTCGGGGCGGCGGGGGGCGCACGCCGATGCGCGGCAGCCGGCGCCGCATGGGGGCCCACTGCTCTGCAGCGCGCCGCGCGCCAGCGGTCGTTGCGCTGCCGGCCGTGCGCAGTCGGCGGGCGTCGGCGCAGTGCCCAAGCGGGGAGGCGGCGCCAGCACGGAGGGGGAGGGGGAGGGGGAAGGGGATGGGGTAGGATACTGGGGAGGAGGAGGAGGAGGAGGAGGAGGAGGAGGAGGAGGAGGAGGAGTGAGGAGGAGGAGGAGGAGGAGGAGGAGGAGGAGGAGGAGGAGGAGGAGGAGGGGGGGGGCTGGAGCGAAGAGGGGGCCGCGCAGAGCCGGCCGGCGGCAGCGGCAGTGCAGGCTGTCTTTCCTGTGCCCCCTTCCCTCCCGGGCCAGGCTTCCCTCTTTCGGTCCCCTTTCTCTAAGGTTCCCTCGCCGCCTCCCAGCCGCTGCAAGGGAGCGGTGCAAAAGCCGAGGGGTGTAGCCTGTGGCGTGCAGCACCGCCCGTGCTTGCTTGATTTGTGGTTGCACAGAGCCGACAGCCACGTGCGTTCAAGCAGAGGGCAACGGCTCTGACAACAGCGCAATTAGAGCGGTGTCCCGCGCGTGCAGGTTATTGCAGCGCTGCGAGCTAGCCCTCTCTTCTCCTCCTCCCCAGCCTTCTCCAACCCAGGCTGATTACGCCATAGCGGTCTCATGTTGCGTGCAGTCATGCGAAACCCTCTGCATCTGGGCGGTGCGCAGCTCCAGGCTCTCAGGCACGACGGAAGGATTGTGTAGAGCTCGGCCAGGCTGGTGTGTGATGGGGACGTATCTAGCTCCGCCCCAGGAGGAAGAAACCGTTTGATTGGTTCAGTCGCGTTTGATTGACATCGATTCGTCTACCAGTCTCTTGGGGGGGCATTCGGTTCCCAAACTTATCTCCGATTGGAAACAGCTGTATACTTGCATTCGATGGCTCGGCAGCCAGACATGCCAGCATTGCATCTCTAGGATCCCGAGTACACAAGCAAGACGTTCGATGAGCGAGAGATGCACCGTTCAGGATTGCTTCTTCATCTGCGCTTTGGGCAGAGGGGAGGGGCAGTAATTAGGGAAGGGAACGAGGGGTGAGGGAGGGAACGAGAGGAGGAGAGGATGAGGAGAATGAGGAAGAACAGAAGATAGGGAGGGGAGCATAATGTGGAGGGGATGATGAGAAGGCGAGGAGTAGGGAGTGGGAAGATGAGGAGGAGGAGGAGGAGGAGGAGGAGGAGGAGGAGGAGAAGTAGCAGAGAAGAGGGAGGAGGGAGGAGGATCTTCGTGTCAACAGCGCCGATATCCTGCCACTGTCCGCAGTCCACTGGGAGCTGTCCCAGTCGCCGTCGCCGGGCGTCTGGCAGGATCATTCGCCTCGTCGCAGCGGCAGGCACAGGGAGAAGCCGCAAGAGGAAGAGGAGGACCGCCCTGTTTGAGGGGCGGCGGAGGAGTCTGCCGGCTCTCGAACACTGTGCTCGGGCGGCGGGAGAGACCCGCGCGCGCCCGCTGGAGGGGGAGGAGGACGAGGAGGAGGACAAGGACGAGGAGGAGGAAGACGACGAGGAGCAGGAGAAGGAGGTGGAGGAGGAGGAGGAGGACGAGGAGGAGGAGGACGAGGAGGGAGGAGGACGAGGAGGAAGACGAGGAGCAGGATGAGGAGAGGAGGAGGAGGAGGAGGAGGAACGAGGAGCAGGAGAGGAGGAGGGAGGAGGAGGAGGGAGGAGGAGGAGCACGAGGAGCACGAGGAGCACGAGAGCGAGGAGGGAGGAGGAGGAGGAGGAGGAGGAGGGGAGGACGAGGACGAGGAGGAGGAGGACGAGGAGCAGGAGGAGGACGACGACGACGAGGACGACGAGGAGGACGAGGAGGACGAGGAGGGCGGAGCGGGGGCCGCATACCCGCCGCGGCGGGAGGGTGGCATCGGAGCGCACGTGCCCTTGTCCCGCGGATCTGGCCGAGGGCGGGATGCCGCACCCCCATCCGGCAGGCCCCCTGACAGGGGGGGGGGGGGGGGGGCGCGCGGGTGGGGGGGGGGGGGGGGGAGGGGGACATACCGTACCGAAGCCACGATCCCCCAGCTCTCCTTCTCCTCCTCCTCCTCCTCCTCCTCCTCCTCCTCCTCCTCCTCCTCCTCCTCCTCCTCCGTAGCCGTTTTGGGTCAAGATGTCTGCTTTGCGTAAGCAGGGCATGGATACCGCTAGTCCGCGGCCAGTTTCCATATCGCGCGCTGCCCCGGCGCCCGCGCACCGCGGCCGCGGCTCATGGCGCCCTCTGCGGCAGGAGGGCGGCGAAAGAAGAAGAAGCTCCCTGGCGATTCTCGTGGCAGTGTCGCTCGCCCTGATGACGACGGCGCTGAGGCTCGTGACGACCGCGCCGAGGATCGGTCCAGTTCCAGCAGATGCGGCTCTGATGAAGAAGAGAATCACGACATGGACCCCAGCGGTTGGGACGACCACATCAAGGGCCTCATCGACGGCCACATTCGCAGCACATTCCTGTCATTCAAGAATGAGATCACGGGTATGGCCGCCTCGACAGCATCTTCAGCGGCCACGCAGGCCGTCGACCCCGTCATGGCCGCGATCCGCGCTGTGGAGGAAGCTGTCAAGAGCGTGCCAGCCACCTGCCAGCAGAAGGTGGAGGCATCGCTTCGTCCTGAGCTGGCAGCGATGGAGCGGAGGTTTCAGTCGCTGCTTGACGGCCTCTCTGCCAGGGTCGCCAGCTTGGACTCGCGCACAGACAAGATGCATGATGAGCTTGGTGACATGCGCAAGCAAATGGACGATCTTCGACAAGCCTTGGCACTCGCACATCGTGTACCTCAGCCACCAAAGCCGCCTGCTGCTGGATTTCAGAGGGAAGTGGATGCAACGGTGCTCAAGATTGTGGCAGCCACGATGGTCAAGCGCACGGACGTTCACGACTCCATCAAGGCGTGGCTCGACAAGTCAAAGATTGAAGGATGGGAAATACAAGGAGAAGAGCAAGATCGCTTGTTTACACTGCAGTTCACAGGTCCTGTTGCCGTCGCAGGTCGGCGGGCTGCTCAGGCACTCGGAGCACTGCGTCTTCCTGGCAAAGGCAACTGGATGCGCTTCCCCGTTCCTCCTGCTTCAGGGGGATCTACGCAACTTCACGTTGGTGCCGACAAGAACCCGTTCCAGATCAAGAGAGAGATCGCAGGGAAAAAGATCACGGCAATTTTGCGGGAAAACTACCCCGACGCCAAGTTGTTCTTTGACCGCCAGAATGGATGGATCTCGGAAAGCTGGAATCCGATTCTTCGGCTCGAACCACAGCCAGGACAAGAAGCGACTAAATGTTATTGGAACGATGCTGCCCTTGCTACGAGAGGTTGGACTAGGGATGAGATCAAGGCTGCTATCAATCACATCATCGTGCCCAATGGCGAGCCCGAATGGAGTCTTTAGCCACTATGACGTGCTGTTTCGGTCGGGGGTTGAAGGTGGGCAGCCGCCGAAGACAGCACAAATCGCGCGTTGTACCTGGAATGCGAGGGCGTTCTTACGGCGGCGTGGTGTTCAGGCTACGGCGAAAGCCTCGTACCTTCATCAAGCTGGGATCACGAATGCCATTTTCGCCATTCAAGAGGTGCACCAAACCTTGGCGGAGTTCCAGTTCGTCATGTCGCGGATTGCCCCCATCGTCCTCAGTCTTTGGGTCATTGGAAGCATCGCGGGATGGCCATCGACGTGGTGGTGTGGCGACAGTAGTGCCACTCGCGCAGGATGCTGAGGTCGTTGCTGATCCGCTCGCCCTTATCCCTGGGCGCGTATTGCGCCTGGTTCTTCGTCGTGGACATGTTGGGCTTCGGCACTACAATGTCCACAATCACGACCTGGAGCGAGGCGATGTACTACATGTCACGCAGAGTACCCAAGAAGACTATACCTGGGCTGCAGCGGCTCCGCCCACAAGGATGGTCGCGGTTTGCGGGGACTTCAACTTCTCCTCGCACGAGGCCCTGGACCTCACGGATCCTACTCAAGCGCGAGACCTTCGCGTTACCAACAATGCGAGAACGCATATGAAGGTTTGGCTATCTGCGCTGGCGTCGTTCGTCGAAGCTGCTTCAGAGGACCCCACTCACTACTGCAAGGACTCCAAGACGGTGGCGCAGATTGATCGCACTGGGGTGTCTGAACCTGGGTGGGTTGCTTGTCAAATTCAACACGCTGTTGCGGTTATCTCCACACCTGAAGAACTGTCAGATCGTGATGTATATGATCATGCTGCTGTCAGAGTTACCCTGTCCAACAGGCGGCAGCGCAAGAAGTACATCAAAACTGTACCCTCCGCCATATACAAGTCCGTCAGCTTCTCTGAACGACTTGGGCGTCTTCTTGACTATGAACAGAACACCTTTCGCTTGCTTTCGCCGCCGCGCCAGCTGGAACGCTATAAGGAGTTAGTCAATGTGGCGGCTCTCGACTCGCTTAATCAGCTGTTGGTCGACGAGCCTGGTTCTCTTGAGGCCCAGCGGATGTTCGCTTGACAGTTTGCTGGGGCCGTCTGGCGCCAAGACACACGGCTTGCTCTACGAGTGTGCAACGCCTCGGAGACTGCGCGAAGCTGTATCGAGATTGGCGGCCCCAGTGCGAAGTTGGTCCAGCCAGCTGTTTTCTCCGCGTGGGCCAACTCTGTCCAACGTGCGGCTGCTGATCAGGAGATTGAGGAGCTTCAGCACGCGGCGCTTCACGCTGTCGGACGGGCCCGGCCTTCTGCTGGGGCCCTTGCTGCGAAGACTCGCAAGGCGCGCTTGTGGGCACCGTTTGGCAAGAGACGCACACTTCGGGCCATATCTGCGGGCAACTGTGCGCACACTGATGCGATGGCTAAGTTGGACGCGCGAGCAGCATATTGGGCACGTATGTCGGCGCAACCTGCTGGGTATCCTAGAGCCACGCAGGTGTACGTTGACAGATTTGTGCAGTCTGGTCAGTATGATGATATCCCTCCTCCGACGCGTGCGTTACTTGGTCGTGTCCTGCGACGGCTTGCACCATCATTTTCTGCGCCTGGAACGGATGGCCTTCCTTACTCGGCGTGGGCTGTCCACCCTGTGGGTGGTGGCGTGTTGTGGAATGCTTGCATGTGGCTGATGGATGGACAGCTTCTTTTCTCAAACACGGGTGACGCGCTCCAGGCATTTCTTCCCAAAGGTAGTCAAGTGGGTGACGACGACAGCAGAGGAGTCTCGCGTGCACCTGATACGGTGAGGACACTCGGTCTGCGCAACACGGATGCGAAGGTCATTTCAGCTACTTTCAACCAAGCCATTGCTCCTACCATTCAGATGACAACGTCGACCGCGCAGAGGGGCTTCATCGCTGGGCGACAGTTTACATCCAACATCCTGGAGCTCGACATGATGGCGCGCGTGGCATCGCTGCAGCCAGCGGCGCACGAGCGGAACCCCTTACTTGTCGCGCTCGACTTCGGCCAGGCGTTCCCTTCATTGAGTCAAGAGTTTCTCTTTGCTGTCTTGAATCGTCTTCGCCTCCCGCGTGGTCTTCACGCTGCAATTCGCTGTCTGTATTCTGTCGTGACCGCTGTGGGACGTGTTGATGGGATCACCAAGCCGCTCTTTCGGATCTTCTGCTGAATTATTCAAGGCTGTGCGCTCAGTGGTAGCCTGTTTGCTGCGGCAACTTCGCCACTCTTGGAGGATCTCAGACGTGGCCTTGAGGTCCCAGCTCGAGGGGTGTTTCGTGCTTGCGCTGATGATATCGGTGGCGTTGTCTTTGATATGCTGGACCTCAAGTACCTGGCTCGGGTGATGACAGTGGCAGAAAAGTTGGCCAATCTTAAATTGAAACCGCCCAAGTGCGTCCTGGTGCCGCTCGCTGACGCCTACTCCGAGATAATCCAGTCCAAGACACAAACCTTTCCCCATCAACATGTTCCTGGGTGGGCGGCTTTCAAAGTGGAGTCCATGCTTGAGTACTTCGGTGTATGGCTTGGGCCTGCTGCTAACCCTATGAGTTCCTGGACTGGACCTTGGGC